AATCTGAAAAAATCCAGAATATTTCTGGTCCCAACCATTTGAGAAAAGGTACTGGGCAAAAGTATGATAGCTGGGACCCAATGCTACACTCATTGTGTAATGTGGCTCTGAATTAAGGAAGGGAAGAAGTGCGTGAGACAGTGGAGTGAGTGAGAGATGCAGCTGTGTCAGAGTCCTGGGAGCATTGTTCACCAGAAAGAGGGAGAGGAAACATTTCTATCCCGTTTACCGTCTTCATAAGCTGTTGTTTATCATTTAATGGTAAATAACTCTAACATTACTTCACTCACCTTAAGCAGTATGCCTGGCTGTTTGTTGTCCCCCCCCCTTCTGTCCCCCCCCTTTTCTCACCCGCGTTGCGCACGTCTACCCTTCATTAATTCTGCCCTGCATTGTGCAACCAGCATAGGGTCCCAGCTACTAGCGTAGGGTCCCAGTCAGGCCCGTAGCCAGGATTTTGATTTGAGGGGTGCTAAGTTTGATTCGGTGAGGGGGCTGGGTTTGATTCAAGGGGGAGCCTGAGGATCTACCCTAGAAACCTTTTGTATCGTTATCCCAATACCCCCATGCATATGGGATATATTGAGCATGGTGATCAGATCATGATATGAATAAACATAACAGTTTAAATAATGTACCAGTAAGGCCTTCTCGCGGACCACCCTGAGAATTCATACTATCCAAAATATGCTGCTTGAGGGCCCTTCCATACAGCCATATAACCTAGAATATCAAGACAGAAATCCCACAATATATGCTTTAAACTGGGTTATCTGAGTCCACAATGTCATATATTTCAGTTCAAAGCAGATAATGTGGGATTTTATTCAGTTGTGTGGAAGGGCACTGAGTCAGTTATTTTATTGTATCCATCTATCCCTCCTTCTCCACTGTAATACTTTTGACAGGAATAACGGGGCTCTCTAGCATCACACATCTGCTTCCTAAATGGAGGAACAAATATCCCAGTCGATATTCAGAAATACATTGTACTGAAAGCCAATCACATTATTTTTAAATCTTAAACAACAAAAGCAACAATATTGTCATGACTGTTATCCTCCTATAAGCCCTTTTCCCTTTCCCAGGCAGTAAAATTGTGGCTTGATAGCATGGCAACTAACAGCAGGGAATCCTTTTAAACGCAGCTGTTGAAAGTTTGTGTCGAATACATCAAACTTAAACCTGCTGGGAAATCTAGTCCATTTTAAGCAGGGACACTCATGAAGTTCAAAGTAAATACAAACAGAAGCAAAGGCCACACAGGAAACAGCTTTTGCCAACAAATAGAACCCTTGACATGTTTATGTGAAAGCAAACCTTGGAATTCTATGGGAATTATTTCCAAATGAGTGTACACCAGAAACCTTACCTTAACACTGAGTACCAGTAAAGTGAATGGGCTTATTTCTAAATAATCGAAATTCAGGAATGGATGTAACATATAAGTGGCAAGTAGAAATAAATGGCAACTTTTTCATCTCACAGACCTGTGAGGTACACCTCCCTACTAAGCATCGCCTGCTCCTATAGGATTTATTCACTGGTGCCATGTTGTTTAAGTGTTTGCTGCCATCATAATGGCTTCCATTACAGCCCCCTCCCTAGGTGATTACTGCAAGCCATCATTGTTATGTGTAGGGAGGTCCCCAAAAGACTTTGAACTAAAAGTTTTTGGCAAAATAAGGGTTGTCATCATGAAGGAAGAAAGAGCAGCTATCTATCTTTGAGCCAAGCCACACTTTAGTGCAAATCCATTTGGACAGAGCTGGTGGGATGAGGAGAGTAAACCCTCTTCAGCCAGGCCAAGTGATGGAAGGAGCCAACAAAACAAAGCATTCATGCAATCAATAATGTGGCAGGTATGAATATATTTGAAAAGCTTACTGATCTTTGCTCATAAATTACCTCCAAGTACTAATAACCAAGAATTTCTGGGTTCTTGAACCTTAAATTACTGTCTGTGTTACATTTGGTGCTGTCACATCATGTAAATGGTTGGAACAATTATTCTTGGAAATGAAAGGGAAGTATTGGGATGTGCAAGAGTGTAGTTAGGGATAAAATTATAGAGCTGGGAGGAATCATCTAGTCTAATATTTGCTAGGAATATGCAACTAAAACTGAGTCAAGAGATGGACACCCAACCTCTGTTTAAAGACCTCCAAAGAAGGGACTCTATCACCTTCTGAACAATTTGCTTCACTGTCAAACAACTCTTATTATGAGAAGTTCTCCCAGATATTTAGGAAGAATAATTCTTCTTATAATTTGAATCCATTTGGTCATGCAAATACAGGTATTTCAAAATCTGGAATGCCTGTATCTGGAGCAGTGAAAGATCAGCTTACCCCATCTTGTACATCAGTGGTCCTCAATCTGTAGGTCCCCAGATGTTTTGGCCTTCAACTCCCAGAAATCCTAACAGCTGGTAAACTGGCTGGGATTTCTGGGAGTTGTAGGCAAAACACCTGAGGACCCACAGGTTGAGAATCACTGTTCTACATGGTAGTTCTTCAAACACTTAAAGGTGGCTACCACATCACCTCTTGGTCTTCTCTTCTCCAATATAGCTAGTACCCTGAGTCATTCCTCATAGGGGTTGGCTTCCAGATCTTTCACCATCTTGGCCACTTAACTCTGGACATATTTCAATTTGTCAATATCCTTCTTAAAATGCAGGGCCCAGAAATGGTCACAGTTTAACCAAAGCAGAATACAGCAGTACTATTTCTTCCCTCAATTTGGACATCATGTTCCTGTTGCTGCAGCCTAGAATTGCATTGGTGTTTTTTTTTTAATGCTGCATCACGCTGTTGACTCTAGCTTGTGTTCTACTTAGTCCTTCTCACATGTGCTTGTGGCAAGTCATGTGCACCTTTGCATTTTTTCCAGCTTTGGTGTAGTACCTTACATTTATCTCTGTTAAATTTCATTTGTCACTTTTCATCCAGTTCTCCAATCTATTGAGATCATTTGAATCCTGATTCTTTCTTCATGGCTATTATCCACAAATGGTCTGTGACTATATTGTAATTTCAGTAGTTTTTTGTAGTAATCATAGCACCTCCAGCCTTCAGATAGTATCAAACCAAATACTTGGAGTAAAAGGAATGCTGTAAATATCTATCCTAAAAGAAATAGCATGCGATGTTGGTTAGCTAAAATTAATACATTAAAGATAATGTATTGGATTAAAATGAATCCATTTTGCAGTCTGGAGCCTACATAATGGCTCCAGGAACCAGAGGCTGGAGCACTGGTTACGATATCCACTGATTGTAGATTGGAACCAAGCCCAAGACTTTTTTTCTTAACTAGTCTGCTGAGATGCACTGAAGCGCATCACCATGTCTGTTTGGGATCTGCTCTAACCATGGCAGGAAATGTGAACAAAAGGTGGGAAGGACATGATGTGGTTTTCCTCAAAGGGAGTACTTATCTACCTTTTGATGTTTTTTAAAAAGTGCATCAGCACTAGTGTTAGTGATGTCTTGAGAAGTGTTCTGTATATTTCTGTCTTGGTTTTGAGTTCTGCATGGAATAAACTCTGATCAGCTGTATCACGTTATCTGACGAATTCCAGACTTTCTCATGAGTTTTTTTTAAATGCACAATTTCTGGTGAGTTTTTTAACGTGCTATTTCAGGCTTAATGCATACTACAGTGTGCATTGGAGGTTTGTGCATTTTGTAGATACCCTGATCTCAGACTGGCTTTGGACTGGATTATAGTTCAAGTTCTGGCCTGAGGTTAGGGGAAATTTTCATGGTAATTGTTGTAAGTTATTAATTTGTTGTATATGGTGTAGTCAAACTGGGTTATTTTCTTTAAATAGGCTTATGATGTTTTAATTGATCACATATATTATGTATTTGTGTTTCATAAACCTTTGTAGGCCACTTTGAATCCCACCCATGGGAGAAAAGTGGGATAATGTTCCACCTGAACATTAGGAAGAACTTTTGGAGTGTGAGAGCTGTTCAGTAGTGGAACCCTCTACCCCAAAGTGGGGAGGAGGCTCCTTCTTTGGAGGCTTTTAAACAGAGGCTGGATGGCCATCTGTTGGGGGTGCTTCCTGCTTCTGGGCAGGGGGTTGAACTGAATGGCCCACGAGGTCTCTTCCAACTTTATGATTCTATGAAAAATGAATAAAATAATAATAATGTCAGTATAGAATCATCCTGAGTATTCCCTGCAACAAACTTCTTCCATCTACCATAATGGAATTTGTCCAGTGGTGTGTATGTCTGCAATTAGACCTAAAAATAACGAATGTGTTTACCTTCTAATGACAAAACAAAATCCAAAGCACACTACAGTATGTCTCCAGTCTCTGCAAGACCAGTTCCCATGGTTTCATTCATCTACATCTGACCAAAAAAAAAGGGTCATCTCTAGGGATTTTCTAGTTCCTTCAGCACGACTCTACATTATTCTGTAGAGTCTGTTCCTGGCTGTTCACACTTCTTACTGCATAATTCCCATGGGGAAAGAGTTACCTTTTGAAGTCTTCACCTTGGTTTTGCCTGAGATATGGGAAGTCAATGAGGGTTTTATGGTGTTGGTGAAATGATTGTCCAATAGGAGTGAGGATATGTGCATGCGTACACACACACACACACACACACACACACACACACACACAGAAACGCATAGGCCCATCTAATAGGGTAAGCATAAGACCTCGCCACTCCACCTATGAGAATTTATCTGAAATGTTCTTCTCCTTTGAACATTTCCCAAAAGTAATTTCCCCTCCCCTGCCATCCAATTGTATAAGAATAACAAACAAAAAAAAAAAGATGTGAAAAAATGTTTTTGTCACACTTCTACAGTTTATATAGAGGGCAATCTCAAGGGAAATGGCCATGGCTAATTGGCTTATGAGCCATGCAAGACTTTCTTTCCCCGCCTTTCTACAAGCCATCTGAGTTCCTCGTGATTCAAGCAACTTTTGTCTCCTAGACTGCCTGAATGCGTTTTTCCTTTCTTTGCAGGCCTTTGCACTGAAGCCAAGTGAAGAACCTTATGATTGCACTATATGTAACTCAACTCAGATAAGATTTCACTAGGAAACGAACAACTCCTGCCTTTCAGAAGGAATTGTCCCATCAGCTCTCTCCCCATCAGCACCTTCCAGTTCCATCTGCTGTAGCAGAACAGCATCTAGGAAATCATTGCCATCTTTCTTCTAAGACCACCTCAGAAATCAGTCTCCAGCCATGTTCCAGCGCCTCACCAGCCTCTTCTTCAGTGACAGCAGTGCACCTGAAGACTTTGAGGAACCCAAGCCTTTCATTTCTAAGGAGGAGGAGGAAGATGACTGGCTCATTATTGACATAACAGGTGAGAAATAGTAAAAAAAAACCTACTGTATTTTCTACCTAGAGCTATACATCTCAAACTGGAGAACTGAGGAAGTAGAAACTTCTCCCTAGAGACTAGTACCCAATTTCTCTTTCAAGAGGAACATTTTTTTTTTACACTAAAATGCTTCCAGAATAAAAAGGGTAGAATGATATTTTTACATTCAAGTAATGTACCTACATATCAAGTTACTCCCTTTTGGGTGAAATGTTACTCCCTTTTGGGGAAAATATTGGTTGTAGAGTTTGAAGGACTATGTCATCCTTTTTAAGGGTAAATGTTGGTTTGAACAGTACTTAGTTGTTGTTTTTTTTTAAAAAAAAATCAATATTTTACCCCTTGAAAGTAATAGCTGGTTCTAATGCAGTGTTCCCTAAACTCTGATTCTGCAGGAGTTTAGAACTTCAGTTTCCAGAATCAATGATCATTGATCAAAGGAACTGAGGCTTCTGGGGGTTGAAATCCAAAACAACTGAAGGACTAGAATTTGGGAATCGTTGTTCTAATGCATATTCCAGGTTCTGGGAACAGCTGGCCAGGAAGCTTATTATCCTATGGTCACCTACCATAGTGGTAGACAATGCAGGGCAGAAAGAGACTACCAATCCCAGAGGCTACCAAGAAGGAACTAAGGAGTTTCCGTGGTCTTTTCAGCAGTAGATAAGAGGAAGCCACATGAAGAGAGGAGATGGCTGGGATCAGCACTATGGAGCTACATGGCTGCTGATTGAAATGACTCCCACCAAGCCTAGCTTTTAACTCTGTTGCAATGTTCAATTTAATGCTCTCCGACTTCCTTCTTATATTTTCCTGGTGAAAATAACCAATTACTATTACAATTGAAATGTTCCTTCTGATGAGCATCTGAAATCCACCCTGCCCTAATGTAATATTGATAGATACTATCTACCTCCTGGGACAGCAAAAAACAAGCCTTTGGCATTTTCAATATAAGTGTTTGAAGAGTGCTGTCATGTCTCTTCCCCAGGCTAGTCTTGTCCAAGTGGCATACCAGATGGGCTGGCTTCTGTTTGCATGCCTACTGGGAAACTTGTGAGACTAGAAAGATCACTTCAAGAAACCCCTATGTACTTCTGAAATTTGTGAAATTCCTTTATTAATGTTAATGAAAATGGTGTAAAATATGTACAAGCTTCTGAGAGCATCAGACTTCTTCATTGTGCAAGATATTAAAAATTTTAAAGGCAAAATAGCCCAGAGTCTTAAAGCACCATATCGTGTCAGAAGCAACTTGAGAAACTGCAAGTTGCTTCTGTGTGAGAGAATTGGCAGTCTGCAGAGATGTTGCCCAGGGGACGCCCGGATGTGTTACCATCCTGTGGGAGGCTTCTCTCATGTCCCTGCATGGGAAGCTGGAGTTGACAGATGGGAGCTCACCCCTCTTGTGGATTTGAACCGCCGACCTTCAGGTCAGTAGTTCAGCCAGCACAAGGTTTTAACCCATTGCACCACTGTGGCTCTGACCATAAAGATGACCAAGGTTTATTTGGTCCATAGTTTCACAGATTCCAGTCCATATTATCTGATGCACTGCATGCTTTATTACTGCATTGAGAGAAGTAGGGTGAATAGTCCATGGAAACTCGGGCTGGGTAAAATGTGTTTAACTTACAATAGGCAGTTTGGAGGGCAAGAAGTAGAAGAGAGTGGCAGGACAGGAAAAACTGACATGTCTGCATAGTCTCAGTAGTCTATAATAAGAGAAAAGAGATCTGCAAAGGGGCCCCTAGCCAGGGTACTGGGACAAGTGGCATATTGTTGTTTATTTTGGTAGGTCAGCACAGCTAATTAGGGTCCCTCACTCTCAAGGCCTGGCACTTCTATTCAGGGTGAAAGGGAAATATGTTAGGCTTCTTAAAAAATGACACATTCCAATCAACTGTGGTTCATTGAGTCATGTGGGATGGCATTACATATTCCTGGTAACATCGTAAAATACCACCCATCAGGAAATGTTTTGGGACTGAACTAACTTAGCAACCAATGACCATTGGATATTTATTTTGCCTGTACCATTTCATCTGGGAAATGCTTCTATCCTATCTTGGAATGGATGCACTTATCAATTACAGTTTCACTAGCTTCTCATTTTTCAACCCTTCAGGGGTTTTGCTTTTTTTAAAAACTTCAAATGAAAATCCATGTGTATTTTTGTGTATACTTCTCTTAACGTACACATTTTAGCTTGAGATTTTTTCCTGAAGAGATGTCCATTTCCAACAGCTTGGGAAAGCTGCTTTTTTGAACTACTGCTTTCAGAATTCCCCACACAATGTGGCCAGAAAACATGTTGCCTATGGAACCCTAGGATCTGCAAACACACAAGGAAAAAAAAGGAATATGTTCAGGCTGTAGAAGTTATACTAAAGTCTAGTTGCTTGTCTTCCAACTACCCTGGCCTTTGCTGCATGATACAGCAGTACAAAGGGAAGGAAGCCAGCATTTTGGTAGCTGCAAACCCCCTAGACTTATCTTATGAAACAAATACAAACTTCCTCCTGAGCTGGCTGTTTCTAAATTGCATCTTTCCCAGCTTGAAATGCCTTTCAGTGCTGAATGCAGAGTCTTTCCCTATTCCTAAAATGGAAACAGAGAGTTAACAGCTGGCAGATAAAGGCAACTGGCAGACTAGCCTCTCCAAAATAATCCTAATACAAAGGCTGCGACACTCAGAATTTGGAAAGTTACATTTTTTAAAATTGCAACTATAACAGGAACGAATTATTTTGGGAATATTGTTCCAGCATTCCAGGAGCAATTAGCTCTTGTTGGCAATTGCAGGGTTTCAAAAAATAATAATCAACTTTTCTCTTTCTCATTTCTCTAAAGTAACTAGTTTTATTACTATTAGTTACTTTAAAACAGCTGAATGCTATAACCATGGGTAGTGGTACAAACATGATTTCCTCCTGTCTGCTCTCTTGTTGTATCAAAATCGACAAGACAGCAACAAGTAGCAGCACAAGACACAGTATAAGCTCTATGGTTTTCTTCCCTTACTACTTAGTGAGGTTACATACACACAATCACAACATAAAAGATAAAGTTGCATCATGAAAGGAATGAAGTGATGCCTCGTTAGCCCAAAGTTAACACCAATTCACTTAGACTGAATTTAGTTAGTTTAGATCCAGGGAAGTCATGCAACCCATGCTCTATTCTGCCTTGGTTAGACCACACCTGGAATACTGTGTCAAATTCTGGGCATCACAATTGAAGAGAGATATTGACTAGCTGGAATATGTCCAAAGGAGGATGACTAAAATGATCAAGAGTCTGGAGAACAAGCCCTATAAGGAGCAGCTTAAATTGCTGGGCATGTTTAGCCTTCAGAAGAGAAGGCTGAGAGGAGACATGATAGCCATGTATAAATATGTGAGAGGAAGTCATAGGGAGATGGGAGCAAGCTTTTTTTTTCTGCTGCCCTGGAGACAAGGACGTGGAACAATGGCTTCAAACTACAAGAAAGGAGATTCCATCTGAACATTAGGAAGAACTTTCTGACTGTGAGAGCTGTTCAGCAGTGGAACTCTCTGCCGTGGAGTGTGGTGAGGCTCCTTCTTTGGAGGCTTTTAAACAGAGGCTGGATGGCCATCTGTCAGGGTGCTTTGAATGCAATGTTCCTGCTTCTTGGCAGGGGGTTGGACTGGATGGCCCACGAGGTCTCTTCCAACTCTATGATTCTATGATTCAATGGGTTTACTTTAATTGGATTTAGGAATTCCAAGTTACAATTGTAATGTCTTCTTATTGGTGGAAGAACTAATTAAAAGTAGCATGTTGCTTCTGAGCTCTGGGCAGATCTGCTGTACCCATTGGGTCATGAATTCTATTTAACATCTTCGGCAGGATTTAGCATTAATGATAGGCCCATAGACAGTAACCCCATTGGTTAGTCTGCCACTAGGGAAGAGCCAACAAATCAATTTGGGAGGGGTGATTCAGCCTATGGATACATTCCATTTAGTCAATTAATCCATTCTGATGTAACACAATGACACACCCCATTGAAAAAAGCAATGACTTCCTTAAAACAACAGTCCCCTTATCAGCCATTTTGCTTTCTATGGTTTTAGTGAATTCAATTGCAATCTGAAATATATAAAATGGAAAATTAGAGAAATAAACATTTCACAATTTTAGGTTGCATGCTACATTCACATAACTTTCATAAAAGTACATTGTTATAATTGCTCTTTTTTATTATTAGATATAGTTAATCCAAGTATGGGCAAACTTGGGCCATCCGGGTGTTTTGGACTTCAACTGTAGGTTGTCAGGAATTGTGGGAGTTGAAGTCCAAAACACCCGGATGGCCCAAGTTTGCCCATGCCTGAGTTATTCTCTTACTGTGCATAATTTATGAATTAAACATTATCATCAATATATATGAATAGGGGGGAAAAAACAAACGGTACTATATATGGGGTTTGGTACTATCTATGGTTTCATACATCCATTGGGGGTCTTAGGATATATCCTCCATAGAAAAGGGGTAGTTTACAGTAGTTTTATTTTATTTTAGGGAGCTACAAAATTGTCATTTGTAGAAAACATGCGAGCTACCATCCTATTCAGAAATTATGATGACTCACATAAGTCTGACTCATAATTATTCCAATTCATGTTTATAGTCATTGCCTGATTGCAATGATCAGAAATGTTCCTGATGAAACCTTCCCTTGAAGCCTCACAAACTCCACAACACAGCCATTTTCATGGTTCTGGAAAGCATGGCTGTGAGTAATGTTGTGTCCAGCTCTCCTGAAGTTGTGGAGTTTACTGGGACAGATATCTGCAAAAAAGATGCTGATAAAGATACTCTTAAGGACCTCCTCCCATGAGCAGAGGGGGTTACCAAGGGAAAGCAGAGGAAAAATCTTACTTCATTCCCTACTACAGGGGTCCATCTTCTGGGATGACCAACCACCCCACCCCCTGTCTTTTACCTGCCTTTC